TATATATATATATATATATATATAGTCTAGATAAAAGCTAGTGGTTTCACGTGAACAGGTAAGCTAAGCAAAACACTAGATCCTCCCATATGTACTTGTCCAACCATGAATGATTGGTCACTTGAAGTTGTAACATGAATAAAACAAACAATCGTTGGATAATGATTATGCAGGATTATGCGCCCCACAAATTTGTAAGACAAGGTTAATGCTGAGTGTGGCTTCTTGAATCTGATGAGAAAATGTTCGTTGTTTGGACTGCATTTACTTGCAATATTGTGAATAAAGTAGTATGAGGTTTTATTGCATTGTTGTTTATTCATAAACTGGTATTACAAGGAGCAATTAGTAACGAATGCTGAGTAGTGACTAACTTTACAAATACAAGTTACAATTATAAATTTCACGCAGGACTGAGGATTATGGATTGGCTTTCTGAAATTATATCATGCATCTTTCCTTCAAGTCTATATTTTCTGGATCCCTTCCATTTTAAAAATTGCCACTCAGAATTATCAGGATCTGTTACTAGTAATAAGTTTACTGTGGCAAACCAGACAAATTCAACATCCGCATCAAAAGGATGAGTTCTGAGTGCTGCCTCCACAATCATCAGTTTGTTGTAAAATGTGTTAGCTTCTCCTGGTGGCTGCATCCGTTGAAGACTTACCATTTGTTCGTGTAGAATTGTGTGTGCTTTGAGATGGCGCGGACACTAATTTCAACATCAGATTCAGTATAATGAGGGAAGAGGAAGTATGCTGCAGGGTGAAGTTGTGTTTTCTCTTTAATACCAGCTTCTGGCTAAGGAAATTGCGCCATATGTTGCTCGTGGACACTTGGTTAAGGCTCCCATTATCTCGGCTAGTTCTTGCTTAACTTTGTGTTTAAGTCTAGATCTGAAGCAGCTTTTCCATTGCTCATCTTGTAGTTGATTGTTGGTGTCTTTTCCTCCAACGAATAAACGCTGGAAAAGATTGAATATTTTGTAATATAGACATCATATGACTTCTGGACCATACGATTTTATGTTTGATTATACTGTATTATGAATAAGTATTATTTTGTTAGAAGAAATTGTCCACAAACGTTGTGAAGTTTACTTCCCTCAGCTCCCTCTTGTAGTAGGACTGGAGACTCTCAGAGGTGTAGATGTAGTTGGCTTTCCCTTGGTGTATGTATGTGTTTGCTCTTGAATAAATGCCCCAATACCGAATTCAGTGGCTTTTGACTCATTTCCTTTCGTCTTTCTCCAATTATCAAATTTTGTGTGAAAGTAGTGAGTTTTTGTTTTCTATTATCCTCCAACTCGAGAGACAAGGTAGATTCAAGATTTGAACATTATATATTCGAGCTTGGTATTTTATCAGAATTCATTCAAATTTTCGGACGAAATCTATTAGGTGTACTTATCTAGTGACTTTTCTTAAGTGTATATATTAAGTTTGGGAGGAACCGTAACCTATTTGATCAAAATTCTCCAAGTTAAAAATATTTTTTTTTAATATTTTTTTTTTTGTAGTGTTTGGTCAAACTTTTTGAGAAAAAATATATTTTTGAGTAGGAATAGAAACATAAAAAAAAATAGTTCTCTCCGAAAAGCACTTTTTTTTGAAAAACACTTATAAAAATACAAGCACTTATTTCAAAAGTTTGGCTACTAATTGTTTCTAATAAATTAGCCACACCCAAATTTATTCTCAGCAATTCTCAAAATCAGCGCTTGGCCAAACAGGCTATAAAGCAATCTGTGAGAAGTGAGAGCTCTCTGCATTGTGAGCAGAACCAAGACAACCAAAAAAGAAGAGAAAAAACTTGATGTAAACTAGTTATGATATTTAAGAATTCATTTCAGCCGGGAATCATGAGAGTGGCAGTGCCACGTTGTGGAATTCCATTATTGAAGCCTGTCAACAAATTCCCCTTCTTCTCTTCCACCCTTTCGCCTAAAACTTGTGCTCGAACCTTCTCTGCGAAAATGTCAACAAACCCACCTTCTCAACTTACCCACACAATCAATCTTCCAGCCCAACTCAATCAACCCGTTTCTATTATCGCTGCTCCCGGCGTCTCCAATGCCCAGTTCAGGCAAGTCCTTTCACTCGCTATTTCTTTCTTTTCTGTTTCTGGGGTTCTATTTTTAGCATTCAACTATTGTAATTCACGCCTTAATATAGTATTTGTAGTGAAGTTTTTGGCTTTTTTTATGTTAAAGATTGATCATTTTTCTTGGCATGAATGACTTGTTTTGGAGTCCGTCCATTTATTCTTTCTTTCTTTCTTTCTTTTTTCTTTTTGAGTGTTCTATGTCTAGCTTTCAGCTAATATAATTCACGCTTAATTTGGTATTTGTAGAGAGTGTTTTGGAAGTTTTTCATGATTTTGAAAAAAATGGATTTTTTTTTTACATGTTTAAGATTAAAGCATTCTTCTTGCCTCTTGCCATGGCTTTGTATTAACTGAGCTGTTTGGAAGTCCTTCCATTTGTTATACCTTTCTTTTTTTCTTTTTGGGGTTCTAATTTTAGCTTTCAACCTATATAATTCACACTTAATATGGCATTTGTCTTGAGGGTTTTAGAAGTTAAAGACTTTCTGAAAAGAAAGGAAGCTTCTTTTATGTTAAAGATTAATGATTTTTCTTGGTATGGCTTAGGATTAAGTGAGCTGTTTGGACGTCCCTCCATTTGTTATATCTTTCTTTTTTTCTTTTTGGGATTCTAACTTTTAGCAAGCAACTTCCATAATTCACGCTTAATATAAATATCTGTAGTGATGTATTAAGAAGTCATTCAAGCTTTTTAAAAAAAAAATCAAGCAAGCATTTTTATGTTAAAGATGAATCATTTTCTTTGTATGGCTTTGTATGGAGTTTGAGTGAGCATGTTTGGAAGTCCCTCCAGTTGCTATATTGATGTGCCATTTTAGCATTCAACTTATGCATGCTCACTATGGCATTTGTTGTGAGGTTAAGTAAGTGTTTCAAGTATTTCGGGAAAAGGGTGAAGCATTTTTTTTGGTTTGGCTTTGAATTAAAATGGCTGTTTGGAAGTCCCTCCAGTTGCTATTTCTTTTTGCTTTTTTCCTTTCTTCTAGGGTTATGTAATTTACTCTTAATATGGCATTTGTAGTCAGATTTCTGGAAGATCTTCAAAAGAGGAAGCATTTTATGTAAAGGTTCAGACTTTTCTTACTATGGCTTTGGATTGAGTGAAATATCTATTTCCTTGTAGGAATGCTATTGAATCCTCATTGTTTAAGCAGTGGTTAAAGAACATACAAGCTGAAACAGGACTGCTGGTTAATGGAGCTATGTCTTTAAGACAAGTTCTTATTCAGGTCTCAATCTCAAGTTGTTCTTTTAAAGTATGAAGATTGTGACTTTTATTTGTTCACTAGCTTGGATGAATTACATTGTTGCCAGAGCCCTTCTAAATTTATTAAAAATTGGATAATGCTGGAGGAAAATGGCATGTCTTTTTATCTTGACTGATGCTGCTTAACTACATTGTTGTTGAGTATATTATGTCCAATTAACATTTATTAGACCAATGAATATTTAGGTTTATTGGCACCTTATGCTCCTTAAAGATTGCCATGCTGCCCTGACAGCCTGACATGGCTGTCAGTTGTGCTCTTGCCTTCTTCATGTTATGTGTCGATGTTAAGTTGCAATATCAGTGACTGGAGACATAGTGACTAACGCCGAATTTCAATCTGTTGTCGGTCCTGCTACTGCAAGCATTAAGTTTGCTTTACAGCTGATTTTCCTTTTTATGTGTTTGAGCAGGGTGTAGATATGTTTGGAAAGCGTTTGGGGTTTCTAAAGTTCAAAGCAGATATTATTGATAAGGAGACAGGTCAAAAGGTATCTGAGTAGAATTTCCCATCCCATTTATGTAACTCATTCAGTCGGACAATGAATAGATACTTTTAAAGCTGTGGTTTCCTTAATTTATTTTGTTTATACTGAGTCTTTTGTCCAAGTATCTTAGAGCGACGGAAAATACAGTACTCTTGACATAGCTTGTCATTACTAACATTACAATGATTTGTGTCTTCCATTTTCTTTTTCCTAGCTTAGCCTTGGTTGCGACAAGGGCAATTTCTTTTCAGTCACTATTGCTTCTTTTGTGTGTAGGTTCCTGGTATTGTCTTTGCACGGGGTCCAGCTGTTGCAGTGCTAATCCTTTTGGATTCTGAGGGTGAGACGTATGCTGTGCTTACGGAGCAGGTAGGTCTTCCAAGTTCCAACCATCAACTCCTCTGTTTATATAACGTTGAAAAGTATCTCACAATACTGATTAGGTGAGGAAATCTATGAAGGTTCTCTACCTCTATTACCTTTTTAACTCTAAAAAACTTTCAAATTGTTTGAAAGGTTAGGGTACCTGTTGGGAGGCTAATTTTGGAATTGCCAGCAGGAATGCTGGATGATGACCATGGTGACTTTGCTGGAACAGCAGTTCGAGAGGTCTCTCTTTCCTCTCTATCAAAGCATTATCCCCTCCCCCACCCCAAATAATCCAGGCAATATGATGCCGAAAGCTATCACATATTCATCCATGCACAGGCATTTCATGTCAGAGTTACTGTTTTCTGGTCACAGATGATTTTCTTACAGTTGTGTTTGCAACCGAGTATTCAGAGAGGAGTGAATAATCAGACGGAAGCACTTAAGTTCCAAAATTTATTTTAGATCTAATGGTGTATATGAGAAATTACAGTGGCTTTAATCATTGTGAAGGTCCGGGGTTGTTGTATGGTCTCGTTCAGAAATGTTTCATAGAAGGCTGGTATTTGCATTGTAATTGTCTATAAAATGTTTAAAGAGGGCTCGTATTTGCTTTTGCAAAATATTTGGGTCACAGATAATAACGTACAAACGATGGATGCTGAAGGATTATGGTAGGTTGTGCCAGGCATTGTCTTGTCACTTTTTGGTAGCTGTTGCAGGGATATTCCGAGTAAGGTGACTAATATGCTCACAGAGACTGAATCAACAGGGAACACCGAAGATTAAGTAGGTGTCGACAGTCAATCCCAAGCAACTGAGCAAGTGTCAACAATGAGTTAATTTGTCAAAATCTCAGGCATTAATGTAATTTTGAAGGCGATAGTCAAGTCTAGATTTGAACTTTATGGTAAAGTCTTAGTCGTCAAACTATCATTTTTAAGGTGTGCAGGAGATTGCAAGTAGCCAACTTAACAGCAAGAAAAGGAATAATCATGTTACTAGCCCATATAGGCTTTTGTACCTGGTTGACGACAGCCCGAGGTACAAGGAAATAGAACACATGAATCTTCAAAAGATGAAGTAAAAATTTCTCCAGATAATACAATGAGCCAATACTTCAGCATATGCTGCAGTTGACTCATTAAGATACATACAGAGTGAATATGAACTTTCTCAAAATTTTCTAGACTGGGGAAAGCTGTTCCCTTGTTTCGTGGCTCAATTACATAGTATATTGGTTTATTATTGCATAATGAACTGGATTCCTCTTATTCTGTCCTTTCTCGACTAATCAATGGAAGTTCCTTCTTTTCTGATGAGTTAATAGAATCCAGAAATTTGCTGATGTTTGTGTATGTGTGGCTCTACTGATCCTTATAGGAACATTGTAACTTCCTTTTGACAAGCAACTATCTGTTTTACATATTTGACAACTTAGTTGCATTATACTGTATAATCAAGTGCTGCTTTTGAATACTTATGGATGTGCATATATATCAGTGGATGGCAAAATCGGAGAGTTTGACATTGCTATTTGGCCGAACTTCTAATTTAAGTATCTGATCTATATGTCTCAGGTTGAGGAAGAAACTGGAATACACCTGAATGTTCATGATATGGTCGACCTCACGGCTTTTCTTGATGCATCGACTGGGGGAAGAGTTTTTCCTTCTCCTGTAAGCTTCCACCATCTTCTATAAGACTCAGACTAATCTGACCACATGCTCTCTTGGATTTTGAATTATGGGAACAATAAGTAGAAAAATTTGCATAAACAGCTAGTTTCTGCTAAAAAGTATATGAAAGGGTAAATGTTATAGTTGCTTCTAGCCTCGTATTTAAAGAATGTTGACGGTTAATACTTCTAGTGGTCAGTAGTTTCAATTCATTGCACTACTTGCTCTAGTGTTAGGAACCTGGAATGACGTTGGATACTGCTCCATGCGCACTGAAATTATAAATTTTGCGAACCTTGCCCCAGTCATGGTTTTTCAGCATAGTAAAAATTATAATCGGCATGGAAAAGCTGCCATTTTCTGGAACAGCAGTAGCTTCTTTCTCGCATTTCAGATTTAAAAAAAAAGGGCAGCTTAGTGCACTGAGCACCCACTATGCACGAGGTTCAGAGTAGGGTGACTACATCAGGTCTATCGCCTTACGTTGGGTCTATATTTCGCATTTAAAAGATGGGGACTTTTCATTATTATTTCTGCCTTTTATGTTTCTCTAACACTATATTTCTGTGATTTTGTTGTTCTTTCGATGTTAGGGTGGCTGTGATGAGGAGATCAGTTTGTTTCTATACAGAGGAAATGTCAGCAAAGAGAAAATCCAACAACTGCAAGGGAAAGAAACTGGACTACGAGACCATGGGGAGCTGATTAAGGTGCATGTGGTTCCATATGATAAACTGTGGCGTGCCACAGCTGACGCAAAGGCTCTGACCGCAATTGCCCTCTATGAGATGGCCAAAAGAGATGGGCTGCTGCCTTGAGTTAATATTTTCTCTCCCATTTTTATCTCAATTTACTTTATTGTTTGCTTGGCTGAATAGGTGATGGTATATCTTAGGCAGATGACTTCTACATTATGGGTATTCCTAGGCGAACACTCCTGGCAACTGCATCTGTTGCTTAGTTTTGAACTTTTGTACATAGACACACAAAAGCTGTTTTGCATAGAACACAATTTTATCATTTCGAAAAAGATAATAAAAAAGGGAAAGAGGAGATTGGTCCTTGCACAGTTAACGGAAGTCCTAAAAAATGACAAATGTATTAACTCTATTCCGTTTTACCGTTAATTCTGTTCCTGGTATGGATGGGTAAAATTGGCTTCAGGATGTTGTTATCACAACAACATGGCACTGCTATTTAGCTATGAGCTTGTATCTTCTTCAAAACATCTCTTGCTGCGACTTATTTTCATATTAAATAAAGTAAAAGAAACTGATTGCTTCTAAATTTGGAGTCAAACACGCCAAATTGAATTTTTTCATTTGTCTCGAAAAACCCATGGGAATTATCTTACTTCCAATCCTTTAGAGCAAAATCTTACTGGTTGCAGCTTGAAAATGTTGAACGTCGAACATCACTGAAGAAAGTATTTTCCTATTGCAGTTGGAAAACGACCCTGCCATCCCAAATTAAGCTTGATGGAGATGTAGTATACAAAGAACATATAGGTCTAAGATAGTGTAAGTGTTCAAAGTTTGTTGGTTGCTTCCCAAATAGTTGTACCATCACAAGTGCAGAGTTTCTTGTAGTTCTCACCAACTCCTGCACTTCTAGCTATCACTGCTGCTTTAAGTCCTGGATCCGATTTATCTTCAGTTGCATATACTGCTATGGCTCTCCCAATCAGGTCAGCAACTCTCAGCTTCTCTTTAGCACCAGAATAGAATGACTCACCTTTCTCGTCAACTTCCAGTGTTCCCAGGTCACCAAGTGGCTGAAAATTGGAAAAAAGATCAGAAAGTGCAGCACATCACTTTTTGGTGCAACTTTTTTCAATACAATGTTCAGGGCTAAGGGGGGAAAAAGAAAAGCAAAATAGATATTCCCGTTTGTATTATGATATCACTGTGGGAACAACCATCTTGTTTTAGTTTTTCCCAGATTGTCAGATCACTACCAAATATTCTCAATATAGAAGTCATGAAGAAAGGAACCAAGCATGCAATCTCGTGAGGGGGAAATGGCGGACCCTTCCAGAACAAAGGAACTTATCAGGATACTCACCATTTTATCATTTATCACCTTACACCAAATTCTTTACTATTAGGCAAAGCAAGAAGGACTACAAAGGTCACAATACCTAACCACCCTGTTAAATGCATGGCCTTCACCAAGTAAACCCCCATCTCCCACTCCCAGAGCAGGAAAAAATAGAAGGGAATCGGACAGCGTATAGGTACATCTTAGCTTGAATAGTAACTTGTACATGGTGTTACTCAAAACCCACACAAACCAATCATGCATTAGAACTTCGTCCATTGGGCACCTTTAGACACTCCAAAACAAGGAAAGAATTAACACAACAAGCAAGTGTAGATATTCATTTCACCCTTTGGAGTATCCTGTTTCCAGACAACTTCCATTCCATAACTAACAGCATGGATTATTAGATACATTTCATTGACAATGGACCACTTAAAAGTATTAATCATAGTCCTTCAAGCACTTAAAGCATCCATAAGTGAGATTAGTTGAGAACCTGACTGCATAAATAATAGATAAGCATGCTGATTCCCTCAATTTCTCTGTGTAAGGATAACGGCAACTGCAGAATCCATGCCCCCGACCAAAAAAGGAGGAAAAAAACAACTTTGTCTCAATCCCAAACAACACTGGGTCGGCTATCTCACTAACCATGTTACTCCAATTAAACTTATCTCAGGCCAATAACATACAAATAAAAATAAAAAGTACTAGAAGTTCTTTATATTTTCTATTGATGACGTATAAAACTCTGAAAGGCTAAACGGCTCCTAGAAAAGCATAAGACAGAGTAAAAGTGCTACCATGACAAACATATTCTCAACTAATAGGTATCACCTATGTAGAGTTCACAGGAACAGGGGAATATAACATATCATATTTAAATCAGACGTTTTTCTGAGTATTTCTTACTGGGCTATACAATTTCCCAGTACTAGCTGCCCCCTTCGTCAAATCACCAAATTCATTAATTGACCAAGCATGCTTTCCAGGTGACAGTCCACTGAAGTTTGCTTCAATCCTAGTTAATTCCATATTGACTTGAGCCAAGCGAACAACACCAAAAATGTCTGGCCCTTTGAATTCCGCAACAGCAGCAGATATAAGGAAATCTACACAGCATGGTAAACACATAAAACTGTTGGATACATCGCATTGGAAATAAAGAAGATGAAGCTGAAGAAATCTAAAGCTCATGAGGTAACTGCTTATGATCCCTCGTTTGCATTCATTCTCTCAGTTCAGCACTTTAGAAAACATTATGTACAATAATCATAGGCATAGCTGATTCTGGTCATCCTGTGAACATAGCCAGAGATGTGAAAATATAATGCTTCACAAACTTTCTATAGTACTAACCGACAACATCAGATATACAATTAGCTTTAAGATTGGAACAATACCATCCGGAACTCCTTGTCCAATCAGTCGGGCTTTTCGACCTGTTTGCTCCAAGGCTTCTGTCAAAATCTTCACAGGTGAAGATCCAAGAACTCTCACTACTTGATTATCGAGGTCCACATCCACATTCTTAACACCTAAAAGCCACACAAAAGATCTCTTTCAATGCTAAAACAAATTGATGAGTTTTTTTACAGAAAAAAAGCCTCATGACAAGGCATGATTTCTTGTTTTTAGCACTTACCTTCAACAGTTTGCAGTTTGCTCTTGACTGCCTTAACACAGCCTTGACACGACATGTCCACCATAAATTCTGTCTGTCACCAAGTCGACAATACCATCAATTTAACGTGAGAAAGCAACAGTAATGTGACATAACAATCAGAAGTTATGAGTTCTTATGAGACATTCTATATTAGAATAATTCCAACATAATGCAAGCCCTCCACTCCCCAACCCTAAAAATCATCAACTCACAACAAAACTAGTAAAACCAAATGCGAACCGCAAAAATTAAACCCTCTTCGATAACAACAAAAATGGGTTATCCTCAGCATAAGTTGGTGCACTAACATTAAGAGATGCTTTAAGGAAAAACCCAATAAAGATCAGCATTCTTGACAAATCAATCACATTACAGCCAGCATGAAGAATTTACCTAAGCAATTAATCAAGGAGAAAACGACCCGCTTGAATTATATAGTCAAAAGCAAAAGTATATGCATGAGGAATTTACCTAAGCAATTAATCAAGGAGAAAAAGACCCGCTTGTATTATATAGTCAAAAGCAAAAGTATACATTTTTTTTACAAGTGAATATTGCTTATAACAGAGCACTATATAAGGCTCTGCCCTGCCTTCTTACACAAGATGTTAGTTGATCGACCTAAAGCAAAGGAGAAAAGATTGGTCCTAGATTGATATTGTACTATATTGTACCTTTCTTTCACTCAAATGTTGTACTGCATTGTAGTACTATCAAAAGTACACAGTTACCATATTTACCATAATAGACTTGTTTGCCGGTACAAGAGTCCCTATTTATTGTACCGGTCCAGATATGCTAATATTCACGATAGTGTAAAGAATTTTATACTATCATATCACATTTACCTGTTATTGTAGGTAACCTGCCTTGTCTTAAAGATTACAAATCCCATATTTTATGGTGAAGATATCTGTTGAGTGACCTTTACACTGTCTATATATAAGTTAAACTCATTTCTCATTTTTCCTCTCAAATCAAAACTACATAGAAAAATATACTAAAGCCTAAAGGAGAACGTACCAGTAACTCAGGCAAGACGGCACCATTCTAAAAATGAAAAATCAAATTACTGAATTAGAACTATAACATCAATTGATTGCCAAAAACCAATAAACCACAAAAGAAATTAAAAATATACTAGTTTGCAGTTGTGGTTTAGGAATAGAGGTGAATCTCAAATTTAAAGAGACTAATAGTGTAAATGCACCACTTAATATCCGAATTAGTTCCGGTGCAACCACGGCTTATATGTTGAATCAGCCTAGGAGAATTCAACAAATTTAAGAAAAATACAAGAGTTAAAAGGAATAAATTATACCTCGACGGAAGTTTGGTGATTGGAAGAAGGCGCGTCCATATGAAGAGCTGAAGGAGGACTTGATTTTTCTATATTCTTCGCGAAGCTTAATCGGAGATTCGGATTCGAAGCAAATTTTAGATTTTTCGATAAGCGTTCGAAGTGCGAAGAAGAAGAAGAAGAAGAAGAAGAAGACGAGGAGGAAGAGGAAATGGAAGAAATAGCAAAAGCAGAAGCTGGAATAACAGCAGCAATGGCGGTTGTTTTTGCAGTCACAATTGACCTCAAAAATGCCATATTTTCACAATCCTTTTATATTCATTCAGCTTTTGGTTCCAATTTTTTAACAGTTGAGATAGAGATTGAGAGAGAGAGAGAGTCGTCGTTAGACTTCGGAACGCAATCTAGATTCTAGAATCATCGACTTCCTGTATTCAGCTAATTGGGCTGTTTCATTGGGCCACATAACTACTAGCCCTCGTTTTATTTTGGAAAATTGACACATATATACCACTACTAATACTAATGGGTGAAGTACACAAATAACCCTCAAAGTGGATGGCCTTGAATTTTTGTCACACCGCTTGTTTTGTGGGCAGAACTTCAAGTTTAATAAGTGTAGTCTCTCGCTTGTCTTATGGGTAGGGGTGGCAAATTGGCGGGTCGGATATGAGTGGATCGAAAACGGATAATTTTAAAAACGGATAGATTATTCGACCCGACCCGTATTTAATACGGATAGAAAATAGTTAACCGACAGATAATATGGATATTCATATTATCCATGGTTTCTTGAATATAATCACATTTGGGAGAATTTTTAGTCTCTCAAACTTGAGGAACCCCTAATTTGAGTCTTTACAAATATAAAAGTTAAACCCATTAGTTATCCATTTTCTAAGTCGATAATATGCTCCTTATCAATATTTGATCTGTTTTTAAAAAGTTCATTATCCAACCCATTTTTAGTGGATAATATCAATATAGATGGATAACTGTTTTTTAAATCCATTTTGCCACCACTACCCATGGGCAACATTTTTAACTTTTGACTTTGAAGTTCTGCCTATGGGGCAAGGGAGGTCAAAAGTTAAAGACTACCCTAAAAAAGTATTATATTTCTGTAACTTTTATACTGCTAATAACTATTAGCAACATTTCGGTCAAATATTAGGTTTACCAACTGTAGCCCAAATAAATTGACAATAATAGCCAAATTCTCCCAAATGGACGGAGATACAAGAGATCTTGAGGTTTTTTTTAGAGTTTTCAAGAGATCTTGGATATGTTTCTAATTCATTCAATTTTAATAGACAAAGCATCTGAAACTGTCGATGATGATTTACATCATCATAATAAATTGTAATCTCACCATTAAAAACTCATTTAAAGATTCAAGTTGAAACTTGAAATTTTTTTGTTGTTTTGAATGGGTGTGGTTGAAATTCTTGGGAAAACCTATACGAAGTTATACAAAATTTGAGGAAGATTGGAGGTGATTTGGACTGCTTTGGAGTTAAAATTTGGAGCTAAAATCAATTTTAATAACATCAGTACGATAATATATATCACGTGTATATATTGTGTATATCCACATGGATTTTCATGTGATATAAAGAATATACATGATATATTGGAGATATACGGATGTACCTGAAAGATATACAAAGACATAGTGAAATATACATAGATATACACCGCGTTCAGCTCGTTACGGCCCAGCTCAAAATTTCGAAAATGAGCTCAAAATTTAGTACAAGCTTCACACAATTGTTATTAACAAGATCTTTGAACACCCACTCCGGCTTATAACAATTTTTAAATTTCAATTTTCAGATTTGAGAGCAAAAAGCTCGATCAACAGTCGAGATCTTCTTCATAATTCGGTGATTTCAATGGGTTTATGACATAGTTGTAGTGATATATTGAAGGCATCGGTAGTTTTAATGGTGGCATTGATGTGGTGGTATAATACTACACGTTGGAGGAATGGTAATGGTAGAAGAAGGTAAATTATTTTGAACTTTGTTAATTATTTTTATTAAAATTACCAAACTTGGCTAAAACATGCCAATAACAATAAATTGGGACATTTCTTGCCATATGTTTGGCCGGCTGGCCGTAGACTGCCGAATTTTCTTTTTATGTTACTTGTTGTTGCAGGTCAATTTAGCTTGATAACATAACAACTTTTGACATTATTAACACACAAAACATAAAAACTTTATTTTATTTGAGAAAGTACTTGAAATAAGTTTTATTTTATATATTCATATTCATATTAATAATGAAAAGAGTATCACATAAATTAAAGTAAATAATTATCTTAAGTACGCTTGGTCCATGCCTACTAAAAGAAGGACCAGTCTCGTCGTGGTGATTAGAGGACACATCCAATCGCTCATCTCTAATGTGACATGTTACCTCCCAGTTATATGATCAACATGATCAGTCGACTAGAAAGCGGGCTATTCTTCTTCCGGGATGAGTTTTTCAATCACGGGCTTGGGTTTAGTAGAGGACTGGCTTGTTTCCTTCATGCCCAGGAGAATGTTGCGAGGGACATGAGAAGTTAGAAAATTCTTATGCTTGTATATAACTTAAATACTTTAGTAATAAGCGCGTGGACCCTTGATGTAACGGGTCAATAAAGTAAATAGGTGAAACCCTACTAAGGTTATTGGAAGATGTTTGTATTTTATTTAGATGGATATATATAGTCTCTAACATTTTGCCCACTTGGAGTGGAAGTATTTAATGGCAAGTAGCTAATGCCGACAAAGACAATCATACTTCCGTGGGAAATATAGTTTTGTTACGCAAATAGCCGGCCAGATTCACGATCTACTTTTTTTAAACCAGTATAGATAAATTATACACAGTTTTACACATATTATACATGAATTTTAATTAGGTGGGTGACTATTATATATTTGAGTTAATTCTTCTACCTACTACCTATACAAGACATGATGAAAGCATTTAAAACTGATAAAATTATCAAACACCATTAACTAAATCAAGAAAAAGTGAAAGAATGAAAAGTAACATAATAACATATACAGAAAAGATATTAACAGCATTTGACTAAAATCAAAATGAGTACTTTATGCACTTATTCTGCATTTGAGATTGAAAGCATTAATACAAGTCCATTGTTCATGGCACCAGAAAAGGGAGAAAAATAAAGAAAGAGAAAATAGAAAACTAGAACTGCCAATCTTGTACGTTTCACTAGATCAACACAACTGCAATTGGACTTCTCACAGAGTGCCTATTAGAAGTCCATTTCAAGAATCCCTGAACAACTTCATTGCCTGAGCTATTGGTTGTCTTGGAAAAAGTCACTTGGTATGTTAATCTCTGGTTCAACATAGAGAAGTTTAGCTTGGAGGGTTTAACTTTCACAGCAACTCCTTTTGGTTGAACTATCTCCACCTTGTAAGATGATTTGGCGTCTCCTACGTTGGTCACATTTCTAGTATATGTCTGAGGAGTTGATCTAAGTCTGATGGAAAATGAAGGATAATTTAATTGCGGTTCAGGGATACTTTTCACCTCCGAGCAATTTACCTTGCGTTGTAACAAGTTACCTACCTCTCGATTTGAGTAGTTCAAACCACATAAATAAGGTAAATAGTCCTCAAATGGTGTATCATAAACTAGTCCAGGATCAGTTGCTCTCGACGGATTAACATGTCCTGCGCCAGTTGCAAAGATATTAGCAGGATTGAGCGTTTCATCTAATATTGGATTCTTGGCAAGGTTTAATGTGTCAGCGGTTGTCATGATTGCGGACTTAATAGCAGAAGAAGACCAATTAGGATGCGCGCTCATCAGCAGAGCTGCTATGCCAGTAAGGTGAGCGCAAGACATTGAGGTACCAGATAGAATATTGAATGCAGACTTTGTGTTTTTGTTGGGGATATTCACGGTGGTAGGCCAAGCAGCAAGGACATTAACACCAGGACCAATAATATCAGGTTTTAAGATGCCAGGATTTGCTCTGCTTGGTCCTCGAGTAGAAAATGAAGCAACTATAGGAGCATTTTTATCTCCTATTACTGTTCCCTGGAATGTAATTGCAGCAATAGGATTTGAAGTTGAATTTATATAGGCTTTAATTTTCTCTCCTTCTTCATGTGAAACATCTAATGCGGGAAGGACATGAGCAGTAGCTGATTTAGTGACACCATCTTCCGGATTATTGATCAGAATCATGCCAACGCCTCCAGCATTCTTTACACTCTCTCCTTGACTACTGGTGAGACTACAACAATCTTTTCGACACAAGACTATCTTACCTTTGATAGCAGGATCAGTCAACGCCCACGATCTACAGAAAGGGGCATCTTGATCACTTGCATTCTTTCCAGCATCATATAGAGCGATGAATGTTGAGTTTGAGGTCTTTTGCTCATCAGCAGATTCTCCTTCAAATTCCTCTTTATTTCCAAGCTTAACAGTGGCCTTTAGTTTTCTATCATGAGTGCTAGCGCCAACTGTGAGAATCCAAGGGGCACTATTTGCTACAGAGCTATCAAATTGGCGATTGCCTGCAGAGCAACTAACAAGAATACCTCTTTCTGTTGCACTGTACGCCCCAAGAGCAATAGGGTCATCATGAAATGGACCATTAGAAAATCCACCAAGAGATGCGGAAATGATATCTACACCATCATCTATAGCTGCATCCATGGCAGCTAAAAAATCAGTATCACTACAAGTAGCAAAACTGCATACTTTATATATGGCTATGTGGGCAAGAGGGGCAACACCAACTGCTGTGCCATTTGCATTCCCAAAGAAATTGGCACCTTTCACAAAAGCTCCTGCAGCTGTGCTAGCTGTGTGTGTACCATGTCCATCATCATCTATCGGGGAACCTTCAGCAAATCGAAAAGACCTGAGTCCTATGATCTTGTTATTACACTTTGTCGTGAAATTAGACTCACAAAATCCTTTCCACTTAGCAGGCGGGGGAGGCATCCCAACGTCGCTAAATGAAGGATGATCAGGGAAAATTCCAGTGTCCAAAACTCCGATGATCACGCCTTTCCCATAGTTGGAATCCTTCCACAAACCCATGTTCTGTTGCAAACCAAGAAAACTTGGAGTATGAGTAGTTTGCAAGGACAATATCCTATGTGGCCGTGCAGAAAAAAAGCCTTGTTTCTTTTCCATTTCCTTCACTTGTGCAGCAGTTAATCTTGCTGCAAAGCCTTTCATCACATTGTGATAGGAATAGATCATTCTTGGCTCTTCATTTTCACTTGAGCTAATTGATGTAGTTTTAG